TCATTTGTAGAAAACTCAAAACAGACCCTTGTCAGTTTATCTCTCACTAAACACAACCACCTTCTGAGCTAAGCTAGAAACTTTACCATCACATTTTGCCCAACTTACATCCAACACTGGAAGCTTTGGAAAATCCTCCAAAACTATTCCTCAGTGATGGAGGGATACTGAAAAATAATTCAAACAATACATCAGAGCCCGAAAGAATGCTCTGGAATACTACTGTCATTTCAGCTGTCTCCCAGGAGGTGGTAGCAGATGATCATGAAGATACCCTGGATACAGAATGGTAGACAAGTCTGAAACAGGTAAATTTAGCAAGGACAAAAATCTCAGATTCTTACATATCATCATCACTGTAGCTAAAGAGTGAAAAAGAAACTTCTTGTTATATATGATGTATTAGTCACCTTTTCTGTTGCTATACAAAAATGCACTCACTCCTTAAAGACAGAGAGGCTTACTTGGCTCATGGGTTCAGAGGACTCAGTTAATAGTCATCTGTCTCCAAGGTAGAAACATCTTGCGGGAAGGGCCTGGCAGAACAAAGATGCTCAGTGAATAGGGGCTAGGGAGCACAGCTGGTGAAAGGTGTCAAAAAAGAAGGAATGAGACATCAGATGCCTTCATGGCCCGCCCAGACACACCTGGCCAGAAGCACCTGTTACTAATTCCCTAGGTGGCTCTCAAGCCAATGAGTTGATAACTATGCTTAACTGTTGCAAGTGGTATCTCTACATGAGGCAAAATTTAAAAGATACAAATAATATTCAATGAAAATTTTGTAACTCAGTCCTGTTCCCAGTCATACTGTTCCTTTTCCCAGGGGCAACCACTATTAACCGTTTTTTAAGTATTCTTCCTGAAATTGTCTATATATTTGTAAATATACATATTCTGTACTACACTTTTGTCATTTATCTCAAATCACCTTCCATGTGATACACATACATTAGTTTTTTTAATAGCTTAATAAGATTTCACACCATAATTTCTTTACCATAAAATGAATTTCTATTAGTGGTATATCAAAAGCAGACATCGGAAATTAGTTACCCATAGACAGACACTGTCCATGCACATATTCTGTTTGCTGTAATAATGGTTTTAACATGTGAATCTCAAAATAGTTGGCAAATGGGGAAGAGGTAGAAAAGGCTATCTATCAACATCCATTCTTCTCCCTTAAATAAGAGGGTGCTGCTGGGAAATAACATCCTTGCCTAGCAGTTAGATAGATATATCCATGAGACTAGCTTTCTGCCATAAGGCTTTAGTGGAAATAGTAGAAGCGATGGGAGTTCATGGTCTGAAGCTTTAAAGGAATGTCTATGTGTTCTTCACACACTCTCTACCCCTTCTACCAGGAAGCTCAGAGACAGTTAAGGCTTTTCCCATCACCACAGAGGTCCAGGTGTGGCAGTATATGCCTATAATCTCAGCACTCAAGAAGCTGAGACAAAAGGATCACAAATTCAAGTTGAGCCTGCGTGGCTGAGCAAGCCCTTGTCTAAAAACAATTTTTAAAAGGGCTGAAGATATAACTCAGTGTGAAGGCTCTAGGTAGAATACCTGGAAAAAGAGAAATTTCTACCCACTTGAAGAGAAGAAACTTTTTATTTAAAAAAATCACAGGGGCTGGGGATTTAGCTCAGCGGCATAAGCGCCTGCCTTGCAAGCAGGCAGTCGTGAGTTTGATCCCTGGTACCGATAAAAAGGAAAAAGACCAAAAGAAAAAAAATCACCTTATGGCAACAACTTTTTAATGACAAAAAGGTTCAGTTAGGACTTCACAGTGTGGCTTCTCTTACAGAAATTTCAGTAATAAAAAAATGTTTCATGGCTAATACTACAAAGCAATGAGGGTAAACCATTTAGAGAGCGAGTACTCAAACTGCAACCCAAAACCCACTTATGTATCACAAAGTGCCAATACTGCAATGAAACCTGAAACCTACGAGGGCAACTTGGCTCCTAAGCCTACAGAGAAGGCCCTGCAAGCCCACTACAGCAGGCACGCCATCGGCTTGCTCCAGTGCTAGACAGGTTAACACAGAAACATCACTGTGCCAAGTCCTCGCTTGGACTCCTTCTGATTTTGGATACTTGTGCTGACCCTGACTTAAGACTTCCTCGCACATTTTTTGTTCACTTCCAAATATGGCAACTGTGTGAGACTGTGATTAAATGGCTCCAAGACATGAACCACCTATTACAAACAGTGATCTCCCTATTACAGTGACCAGATTTTTATCAGCGTCTCCTGATGAAAGCCCACACTCCAAATTTGATGCCCATTTCTATGGCCCTAGGATTTTCTAGGCTCCTATAAATCACACACCCACACTCTCTTTATAGATATCAAAGTTGGAACCAGTTGTTTTGTATTTCCAGAGTTGACCTTGTTCATTTTTATAGATTTACATTTTAAATCAGTCCTGCATTTTCCCCTCAGCATATTACCTCTTTTCACAATTGTTAATGAATTAACACTATCCACTTCTAAACTATTCACTTAGCCCCACTTGAACTGCTACAGCACAGTAACAGGTTAGGTTAGCTTCCCCATGGCCACCTTCACATTCCTGAGGGCCTGGGATAAAGGGAGGCAAAATGAAGATGAGACAACTAGTGTCTGAAGTTTGACAAAGAGAGAGGCAGTGACAGAACTTACTAAGCCTTGTGAGCAGGTGAGTCACAAAAGAAAAAATAATGACCAGAAATGTTGTGAAAAGATCCTTAGTCTCACTAGGAGTCAGAGAAATGGAAATCTTGCATATTGTATAGGTAACATTTAAAAAGATGAATGCCCCACAATGAAACCCAGTATTGTATAAAGGTAAGATGCACTGATAAATATATTTAAGTGAGCATTAACCAGTGACGGCAACTGCTTTTCACATGGCAGAATCATTCTATTCTTGTGACACATGTGAAATACTCAACAAACATTTGTTATGTCAAATTGTCCTGAAAACACAATAGAATTAGGCCATGAATACAGATGTCATCTGGTTGGCTGTTTTTTGCTCAGATATTGGCTTATCTAGGCATACAGAAGGGTCAACATGGGGGCATTTATCACACCAAAATGCTTCTCATTGTAAAGTCTTAACCATCATTGCAGCTATCAAAGGAAACTGTCTTTAATTCAGGTTCTCCCTAAAGCAGCCCCTGAGACAAGGACTTAAAAGAAGGTAATTTTTTGGGTTGAGAGGAAAGTGAATCAAGGTAGGAAAGAAAAAAAGTCAAGAATAGGTATGATAATGGGGTTCAGTCCTTCTGTAAGCTTGTTAAACAACCATCTAGAAAGAATCACATAACTGTCTGCTGCGAATCTAGGGAGAGGTGGGTTTTAGCCTTATCAGTCAATGGTTGCTTCTGAGGGCATTAAATCCTTGGTATTTGCTGCCCACAGGAATATGGGTTTCAGATGCATATCAAGGCCTATGGGCCAGAGTGATAGTTGTATTATGTTTATAACCTCACTAAAACTGTATCAGTCCATGGAATATTGGCTCTATTTTGTAGATTAAGAATCTGAAGTACAAAAGTTTAAGCCACTTTCTGAAAATCAAAGAGTTAAAAAGCAGCTGAGCTGAGCACCAAATCTCATTCTGTTTCTTCCACTCCATGATACAATGCTGTAAAAGCCACAGCATGTCAATTCTCAAACATAGCTGGCATCTTCTTGTCAGGTCATACAGCCTGAAAGATGTGCACACACTTCCAGCCTCCCTCTTTGAAAGAGAAAGGTACTGTGATAGTAGCCCAGACTGGTTTAATCTTTCTGCACCCATGTAAAAATCTGCTAGGTCATAATCATCCAGCGCTGTGAAATTTTTACAGCATCATCACTCGTGGCTACTCTTGCACCAAATACTAGTTACTAAGAAATTATGCCAGAATTTGGATGAAAGTATGGGGGGAAATTCAAGAGATATTTTTGTCTGATCAACTCATTGCAGAGAATCAAATCTCATAGAGAGATCTAGATTCTAATATACTAAAAAAGTATAACTTTACTGTGAGGAGTGCACTTTATTAGAATAAATAAAATATGCTGAGCTCTGCCCAAACACAGAGGTCATGCCAATGTGTGAGCCAAGGAGAGTCTTCTTGCTTTAGTAGAAAAGATAATAATCTGCAAATCACCAGCATCTGAGACTGGCTTGATTTAAAATGCACATAGGTTTTTAAAAATGTTTCAGGAAATCATTGTATTTATACCTTGCCTGTATGAATCAGTGGAAAAGCCCTTGCTGCTCTGAAAATAGCACCCTGCATGGCACTGTATCATATCACCTGCACTAAAGCAAATGCTGGTCTCTCACGTTCTGTTCCTTAGCTTCACAAAACATATCCTACTTCACAGGAAGCCAGCAAGCAGACAGGCACCTCTGGTTTCCTCTGCCTCCAGCCTGGCTGTACAAGCTGTTGGTTTAAGGAAGTCCCACTCCACAATCCCCAGCATGGCCCTTCTTCTCTTTCTCTAGCCCTCTCCACCAACCACCCACCCACCAGTCAGATTTAAAGCCCCCTTTGCATTAAATCCCATGCCACATAGAATCTTGTCCATAATGAAAAACTGCAGGAGAAGGGTCTGGCCAAGTGCCAATAATCAAAATATTGCACAGAAGAGCCACATAAGGGTCTGAGGAAATGACAGGTAGTGCTCTTGTTTACAAATTACCATGAGGCAGAGAGCAAGACCCCAGCCAAGCACACAGTGGGATGCCTGGCATTGAAATATTTCTATCCTCTTGGTAGAAAATTTCATAATTCTTGATCCATAGCAGCCTAACCAAAGCTCCACCCATGTGCTATATATCTTGCTAGGACTGCTTTCCTGAACAAGAATACCACAGCGGCATGAAGACCTTGTGATGAGAAACTGCCAAATCTGCTTCTTCTGCAGACTCACAAAGACCTCTGTGGCAGATATATCTGCTGGCTCCAACAGGAAAGGAAAAGGCTTAGGGTGCAAAGGAGCACTTCACCTGGCACACTGGGCTGGAAGACTTTATTCAGATCCAAGGAGGAGGCTCTGGAATGGGTTTTCTGTGGCCGTGGTGGAGGGGTGGGAGGGTCCTCGCCCCTTTTCATAGCCTCTTCTATGGAGGTGCTAGAGTAAGATCTGCAGCAAAATAAGGGAAGGTCAGAAGAGAAGGAAAAGGGAAATAGCAAAGCTTTACTCCCTGAAGCTGGGTTTAAATAGAAAACACCCGCCCAGTCAAAGTGACTACAAAGGACTGATAACCTGCCAAAAGCAGCCATAAATTCTATTACCCTTTGGATGCCACGATGTACAGTAATTGTCCAAATCCAACTATGAATTGGGTCTTTTTAAACTCTTTGATATTATTATACCAGAGACCTAAATTTACCTCCTCCCAAAAGCTCAGTGTAAATTCAAATCAACTTCTATTAGAGTTGTTAATAAGAACAACATGTAAGCCCTTCAGCTTAGGTACCTCTATGTTTTAACAGAAGGCTTCAAGGTATTAACTGATTACAGAATTTTTCTCCTGTTTATTTGCAAATGTGACAAGTACATAAGGAATTGGAACAGATAAGCTGAGGCTGAAAATCAAATGTTCAAAAGAATATACCAAAAATGAAATTTAGGAAAGGAAAATATACATCAATCAAGATGAAAAGTTTCACTTCTCTTACCCTAAGAAATAGGGTTTGAGGAAATTTCAAAGCAAAAGCCTCAAGCAAATCTTCCTTAAATGTAGCTAGGCACAGCTAACTAGGCAACTTCTGAGATTATAATTCCTATGATGACATTTAAAGAAAAAAGAACTAAATAATTAAAGGTCATGGAGCTAGAAAGTTATATCGATTCAATTCAAACTCCAGTCTCTGTAAATTTTGCTTCTAAAATGTTATTATACTGCCTGTAAGCCACAGAACAAGTCCTTTGGCAGTAATAGCTAGAATATTTGCTGCAGACTAAGTTTCCAAATTAATTGAACTCTCTACATTGGTCTATTGCTTAGGAACAGGTCTACAAGACATTTTCTGAATATAATGATTATGCAAAGAATGAAAGCTGGAACTGTGTGTTTCTTCTCTTCAGCTTCTCAGCCGGTAGAGAATGACCTCTAAGTCAGAGATGTGACCTAGAGACAAATTAACCTCAAGAAACTGTTCTTTGAATTTAGCTAATAGAATGACACTTAGGAAATTACAATCTATCAGTGAATAATAAGTCCCTCCAGCTCTTGCCAGAGCTGTTTTTAATAGCACAAGTTTTTACTTTCCTAAGTTTCTCAAGGTTTCTTTGTGGTAGTTGAGGGTTTTGTCTGTCTTGAAATGTTGTAATCTTTAAGAACACCACAATAATATCATGCGACATGCTCTGGTGTGGTCGCTACAACATAACTGGCAAGACAGGCAAGGCAAAAATAGGCAAGAACAAGCAGGGAAGAATGTTCTAACACTTTCAACCAGAATCAAAGGGAACTGATACAAAACGACCACAAAGTATTTAACTGGGAACTCTTGATTTAAAAGGGAAATTAGGGACCCTAGCTAAAAACCAAAAGAATTTTCCATGCCACTTATAGCTTTGGTGGCATCTCCCCCTCAAGAAAGAAAGAGTAATGTACATGTAGAAATAATTGTGTGCACACTAACATACTATCCTATATCACATACCTCATCTCATTTCCATATATAATCTGTATTTATACCTTCACATGCAAAAGTACTGAATATCAAATAAGTGACACTGTATAACCACAACTGCAACCAATTAAAACATACATATTCAGAGAACTGACAAATGATGGACACAGTATTATTAGAATGGAGAGTTTTACCTCTTTCCTCCACATTTCTACAAATCTTTATTATTTTAAAAAGGAAAATAATCACAATTTGATTCACTTGGTCTCAATAAAAACACAGTTGGAAATAGTGAAAATAAAATCATCAAAATTATACCAGGGTGCCAGTCACTGAAAGAATAATATATAAAATATAGCCAGACATATTAATAATAGAGAATGTCCCTATGGGATTTTATAATTCCACTCACTGAGGGAGGGGAAAAGTCAGCAGAAGCTAAATTCAATTTATGATTAACACAGAGAACATAAGCAGATTTCTTCGATGCAGGGATATTTGTCCTACTATGAAATTAGATAAATATTTCTTTTTCCCTATCTCACAGCTAATATAGACTAATTTGTTTTTTAAAAACATGGTAGCACACACCTCTAATCCTAGCACTTAAGAGGCTGCAAAAGGAGGATTGCCTTGAGTTCAAAGCCAGCTTGGGCTACATAGTAAGTTCAATGCCTGAACTACATAGAAAACTACATGATATCTCAAAAAAAAAAAACCCTAAAAATCCATTCATTCTTTAAAGAAGAATGACTACATGTAGTGATCACAGAAGGAGCGGCTATACTTCTTCTGTCTACTAAAATTAATTATTCTATTTTAAAAATACAAATGCAGGTATATGCATTAAAATGGAAACAAAACCTCAATGTAGAAAATGCAAACATAAAAGATAAACTAAAGGCTAATCTTTTAATTTATAATGAGATTTTCCTAAAAATATAATCAGGTTTAAATGAACTTTTTAAGGAATGTTTCTAGAAGCCAAAGGAAGAACAAAGTCACAAGGAGCCAAAGCAAAATTCAGAAAACACACACACGATATTCTTACATGCTGAAAATCAATTCCAATATTCCTCTTTGATAGATAAACTCTTCTATTTCTGTGTTTCTCCTTTACTAACTCTTCTGAGTCTCATGTCAACTACAGCTCTGCCTTATTGGTCTTCTCTGTTCCACTCACTACTTTAAAAATGTGAAGCAGAGAAGAGGTACAAATACTGACTCAAAAGAACCATAAGCACCGCTCACTCAAGCTTTGTACCCGCTTGAAATCATAAGCATTTTCCCTTATCTAGATTTTAGTTCCTAAATTTCCTACTACTTGATATTTACCTTATAACAATAGCAAATTTTATTTGTTAGTTAACTTTTAACCACATTTTTCTCTGTCCCCTTATTAGCTACTATCCTGCCCAAACTGGTTCACTGCACACAGCCCACTTCCTGTCAGGGGGACAGAGAGCATCAGGCACTACGCTCTAGCTCTGACAACCAGAGACTAAGAGGTTTCCCAGCATGGCTATGTGTTCAATGCTGGTTTCCCACAATGAGTGAAATGGCCCCATACTTTCAGCTTCAAATTGAAAGACAAAAGAGATCATGGTTTAGGTTTTTGGCTTTTATTTCTAGGCAGAGACAGGACACAAAGGGCATTAAAGCAGAAATTAAACAAACACTACCTGGATCTTGGTCTTGCTTTGAGACTGTTGGAATCCTTAGGAATTACTGAAACAAAGATTAATTGTTGTTTGTTTGGGTTTCATTTCTATAGTTAAACAGGGTTACATGCAGCACCTGGGCTAGTACAGAGCACATAAAGTGGTAAATGCGACGTAGGGATGTCACATGGAGAACTTGAGGGCTCCCGCATTTTCATAATTTTCTAAATTTATTTTTAAACCCAAAGACACAATTAAAAGGAAATAAAACCCAGCATATTTCCCCTTTGTCAGAACACTATTCTGAGAAGCCATTCTCAAATATAAGTTGATTACTGAAGACATTCCAGGATAAAAAGACAAGGGGAACACCGGAGGGCTTCTTAGTCTGTCACAATAGCCTATAATAGATTTTGAACCAGACTCCCCTGAAGACTAGGAAGAACTTTATCCAACTGTACATTATCTTAACATACACTATCAGAGCCACATGGCCATAGAAAAGCAAAGCTCCTAGAAGCTAACAGGAGCTCTGCAATTTTTCCTGTAAGGAAACATTCCTATGCCATGTTTCTGTGACAAAACCAGACCAAAAGTATTTTGGCACCCATATGACTGTTTTTCATCTAATTTAGGTTATAAACTAACTTACTACCAACAGTCATGGAGCCCAATTTCCCACCAGAAATCATGGGTGGTAATTAGAAACATTTATAAAAATATCAATTCCCTTATTATTCACTCTTCCATGAAGGACAACTTTAGAAACCAGTAGCTATGATAAGATTTTGCAAATATTGTAAATTTTTCACCATTAAATGCCATCAAAATTCGTAGAAAGACAGCTAGGAATAAGGAACAAGGAGGATATAATTGTTTATTTGTCTTTACAAATTCTGCCAAAAAGAAAATATCTAACTGCATTATTCCATCCTCTTGTACATTACTCAAAGATAAAAGCCCTCCATGGTATGAAGGAACCAGCTAGATTGATGACAATCATTAAAATCCCAGGATTAAATAAGCAAGACAGAAAGAGGAGCTGGAAATCCTCACAAACACTAACGACACAAAGCAAACTACCAAGAGCCTGGACATGGTCAGCTGCAGAGGACAGTATTTCTCCCAACTAAACACTGAGCCTGCGATAGTGAGAATACAGGCACCTCCAGTTTTAAACTGAAGCACTCCCACAGTCCATCGAAAACCCAAGGAGTCTGAGTCCCTTCTTGCCCACATCACATGCCCACAACTAGATATAGTTGCTCATGCACAAAGTCCAGGGGCAGAGACAGGCAGCATACATGGACCTTTATCCCAGCCAAGGAAACTGGTCTGGGGTTGGAGGACCAATAAGTGGCCAGACTCACCACAGAGCTGGATATAGACCTTGGAACAGGCTGATCACTGCTAGCTCTGTGCTCCCCTTCTGCCTTCTTCCCCACTGATTTCAAGTAATATTTGGGCAAGAGACGTCCTGGCTGTGTTAAATACTATTCCCCAAAGCAGATCATAATAACCGTTAATTCCTTTGTCAACTGTCATTATCTTTGTCTTTGCACTGGTGCAGGGATGGGTGTGGAAGGATAGGCTCACCCTGCTAATGAGAGATAGGCAGACAGACAGATGGAGTGAAAGTGTGGAAGAGCAGTGGTGAGACAGGACCATAGACCAGGATGGGAATCCGAGGCCCAGGTGTTCCTCCTGGCCATTACATTAACTAGCTGTTATGTCCTGGATTTCAGTTTCTTCATCTACTGAGAGAAGACCATGAAAATGCATCCTCTTTGTCATGGGGACAGAGAAAAAGGTAATTGAATTGAGAAAATTGAATACATTGTCTAATTACAAAACATTACATGGTAATGCCTAAATAAAAGGATGCTAATATTGCAAGCCTGGAAATCTGGTTTCTAAGTTTACTTCCTACCAGGACAGCAAAGGAGGTACATATGGGAGCAAGTGACGAAGACAAAACTGCTCTACTATGGCAAGATCATGAGGTGATCACTGGCAGTGGAGCAGCCCTAGAACTACCAGCATCAATCGGAAAATCACACTATAAAAATAAACCAGCCTAAAACATCTCAGCTGGCCCAGAGACTTCAAAGCAAAAATCACCACTGTGCAATATGCTGTGCACTGCTTGATTAAATTAGGCCACAAAGGGACATGGGGTAAGAAATCTCTTAGAATCCCCTAACACAAACTTGCCAGTGATTAAGAGAGTAAAGGCATATGGAAAAATATTTAACAAAAAATGCCTCCACTCCCTGGTAACATAGTACCACCTATCTGTCAACCACCACATCACCTTGGTTGTCATTATTATTGTCATTAATATTACCAGCAACTCTAGAGAACAGAGCAGGAATATAGTACCTCTCTTTCCCTCTGAAAAAACACATCCAAAGCAGTTCTCCCCAGGTTTTAGAATAGAAAAGGCTGGAAAACATTGTTCTAAGGCTGGACAACATTGTTCTAACTAAGGTTGGACAATAGTACTCTAGCTAACTCTTCCATCAGCCTCTAAGCCCCTGAAACCCTAGCAGTATACATCTATGAATGTCTGCAGAAATGGCAAAGGCACACTGAGTTGTGAATTCAAGCAGAAGTCAATGGATGGATCGTGGCCTCTCATTTAGTTGGAGAGAGGGAAGAATGACAATATCCTGGAAAACTCCAGGCATGTCATCTTTCCAGGAAATGAGAATGAGAAGAAAGCACAAGCCTAAAGATAGGCCTCCACAAGGCCACAGCTGATCTGGGATAAACCATTCCCAGGGTACGGACTTCCATCCAGAATAAGAACTACCACCTTGAGATGCCTGTGTCTCCCAGAGGGATGCTTTGAGTTGAGGAATTCCATAAAATCCAGAGAAGGACAGCAATGAGAGAACAAAGCAGAAAACACACAGCGTATTCCAAGTACAATGTGAGACACATTTAGATATACTTCATGCACCATGGAACACCTGTTAGGTTTTTTTTTTTTTGGTGATGTCAGGTCCTTGTCAAGGAATATAAAATGATATCTAAATTTCATGCCCCAGAGAACATCTGATCTCATTCTAAAATCCCTAGAAAAAAAGGGAAAAGTTAGGATTCTCAGAGGCTACTGGAGAAGCATCAATTTAACACTTCAAATTTAAACAACTTTTACTAATATCATAGCATGAATTTTCAAATGCAAAAAGTGGGAAGTACTCATGGTAGCACCAGAAATTAGGGGCTGGAAAGAACTGGCCTGAGGTACCTAACATACACAAATAGAACATTTCTTCCTATGATGAATGAATCCAAGTGAGTTTCAAAAGTCAAAATTAGGCTTAGGAATTTCCACCAATTTTGGAATCATGATTGATCTACAATCTTAATTTTCCATTCTGTAGCATCGCTTTCTAGAGGTAGTGGTTCCCAAAACAGGATGAATACCAGAATCACCCGGGGAGCTTCCATGCATTCACATTCATTTATTTATTCATTCTCGTTCTCATTTCTCTTTCTCTCCTTCCCTCCCTCCCTCTTTCCCTATCTCTTTACTCTTCTTCCCTCCTTTCCATCTCCTGCTCCTTCCCGCTTTCTCCATCCCATTTTCTCTTTTAAACCTTGAATGAACTTAGTGTTTGGGAAATATTTTATCACAGCATAAATTTCAATGTTACACTGATTCTGCTGTTCCAACTTTAAATAAATAAACCCAGGATGACAGCTATTTATCACAATAAACATGATATAGTTATTCAATAGGCAAGATGAAAAATAGTGAAAAAGTAGCAACTTCTTTCATGTCTTCTAACCAGGGTTCTGAATAGTAACGTCTTCTGCAGTCCATTGATTTTTTTAGCTGGGATCATCTTGTTTCAACAAGGGCTCCATCAAAGGATCTGAGGACACAGACCCACCCATTTTCTACAATTTCACAAATTCCATTTCTCTAGGAAAATGTACAACATAACTTTTCTTATTCTCCTTGCAATCTACTCCATGTATAAGCACATATAGTTGCTTTCCTGGCAGTGAAATATAAGGAAACTACAGTATTTGAGTTTTTACTTTGGATAAGGAAAATATCAATCCTAGGTTTCTAGCTGGTCTACCTTTTATGGATTTCATACTCTAAACAGAAGGTACGGGGCTTATTCAAATCATCTCAATCCGAGCTTCTCAAATTTGTACTTTGTGACAAGACCCTTGATTCAAATTGAGTGATTTTTTTGGTGAAAGTTTACATTTAGAACTTTAAAAGAACTCATCCTCTTCTCATACATGAAAACGGTGAAAGGGTAGAGAGTCAAAAGGTTTCCATGTAACAAGACCCAAGACAAACATTTAGAAAAACACAGATACCCTGCCACAGAGGTAACAATGTTCTTGCAAAACTGTCATTTTAGAAATTAGAAATAATTACAAGGAAACATGTTACAATGGTTTTCTCCTACCTGGATCCTCAGGCACATCCTTTGGTAAGACTTCATTGAGAGTACTTTTCAAAACTAGAGGTGTTTTGTTTCATTTTTCAGGAACAATAAAGAGAAAAGAAGAAAAACAACAAAAATCTATGAAATTTTATTTCTCACCCTCATCACACTGAAACAAGAATTCCCAGTCATCACAAAAACAGGTCTAGCCCACCTCTAGGAATTTCTATAGCATTTTCTAAAACAATAAAGACCTCTTCAAATATGAAAACAGATTCTTGCCCTATTTTAGAGTAAAGATGTACAGGTATCTTCAGCTTCCCAGAGAGCCTCTAGTGGTTAGCAGAATTATCAGGAAGTACAGGAATTCCCTCTCTTCAATTCCTGACAGCCAGATAAGGATATGCAAATGTCTGGGAGTGGAAACCGGGCTTCAGTGTTTTTAAATCTTGCACAGGGTTTCCACTGTGCAGTCAAGCAAAGATCCACCAGTTAGGACAATGATCATAGTATATGAGGCCACAGACAATCTCTAGTTCCACCTGACTCTACTGAGCAAGTATTTAAATAGAAAGCAAGAAATTATTGTTGCTAATGAAAAATGTATTTTTCATGATTAATCCCTATACAAATATGCATCAATGTCAAATCTCAACAATAAAAACTGAAATGGCTTCACTTCAAATAAGCTTCTCTCGTTCACGTGTAGTGACTCAATCTCAGAAACAGATGGAATACTGGCTTTAGATTTAGAAAATCTTGGTTCTTATCCCAGTTTTTTTTCTTTGTTTGCACAAGCAAATGATTCACTTTGCCTTAACTTTAGTTTGCTTGTCTCCAAATTTTAGTTGATAAAACATACCAGTTTGTGGTGACTGAATAAGACAGTCTAAGAGGAAGTACCTGGTAGATTGCAAAACATTACAGTAAGTATGAGGATTGGAGGAGAGGGTACTTTTTACACATTTAGACATTAAAAGCCAATTCATCTCTGTGCCTAGCTGTAGCTCTAACAAAAAACACTGCTGCAAGGCTTCTCAGCTGCCCTGTTAGTTGAGCAAATTATGGTTGGGCTCCACGTCACATTCCCATATTCACAAAGTCACTGAGAAACAGATGAAGTAGTGGGACAGGAACTCTGTTCAAAAGAGAACTGTCTCATGGATTAAATATGTGCACAAATGTGCATTTACATTGATCTTAGATTTACATTGATCTTCTGCCAACACAAGACATTAAGCTCTCAACTCTTTCCATTTTCAATTATTCCCTAACTCAGGACCAGATTCCAGTATAAGGTATCAAAAAGCCCTAGGTCAAATTATAATAGACCAGTGCCCAAAAAGGACCAATGAACTGGGGAATTTGGACACTCAAGTTCTTGCTACCACTTTATGAATTATAGTTTTATGGCAACAATTTGAACTACTTAATCTATCTAAATGCATTTATATTTGATGACTGTCTTCATATGCTCTAGAAGCTAGCCGGTCCAAGAGAAGTAGATAAGGAAACAGAGGAAAAGTGTCTCTAAAGGAAAAAAATACATCACTACATACCTTGTTTGTCATCACCAGTCACGTCTTGGGTAGGGACAGGAAAATCAGTCATGTCTTTAACAGATGTCTTCTTGGAAAAGAAAAGTAAATAAATTATACAGGTTGGAATAATAATTAAGTGATGTGCACATATGAGGAGAATGTTTTAAAAGCTGTATTTCTTGCCAAAATTTCTATCTTCAGTAAGTCCTGACATTAAATACCACTTTATTATTTTAGTTTCTCAGTGAGGTATACATTAATTTGTACTGAAATTTTTATATACACAGAGGAAAGAAATAAATGATTCAGAGCAAGACATGTGTACAGATCCTACATTAAGTTTGAATCCAGACTAACATTCATCCAGAGAATTGCAGAGCATTTGTCCAGTCAGTCTTTATAAAGTTTTTCACAAGTAGAGAGGTTCCAATAAGTGGCCAATAATGTGGCTATTTGCTAGGACAGTGGTGACAAAACTAAGGCATGTGTTCCACAAACTTAAGTCATGTGTTTTGATGATGTTCATTATCATCAAAAGCTCTAAAAGGTTCACCATCACTGTGCTAGGCTCTGTCGTGCAGGTGTCCAACTGTGTGTGATTAAAATAGTTACTTTGACATAGAATAAGAGAGTTGTGTTGATTAGCAGATCAAATTTTTCTCTTAACTCACACAGGAAGAAGGTCCTCATTTACACTAATAAGGTAAATACCTAAAGTGAACAAGTATGAATTTGTTTAAACTTTACTATTACAATTTTGGGGGGGGGGACTGGGGATCGAACTCACAACCTTGCACTTACCAAGCAAGCATTTGAACCGCTGAGCTAAATCCCCGGCCCACAAATTTCTTATACATAAACCCTTAACAGGCTTTCTATAGTTAATAATAGTGTATATCACACTAGGAAATTGCTGAGGGGCCATAAATGTTCTCACTACAAAAAAGGACAATGTTGTGATGTGATAGATACGTTAATTAACTTGAGTATGGTAATAATTTCACATTGTGTATATCAAAACATCATAAATATATACAATTTTTATTTGTCAACTAGATCTCAATAAAACTAGGAAAAAACACGCACTCTAAAGTCTCTAAGAAGGCTAAATTAAAGGATAATATATTTATATTTGCTTTATTTATATAGGCAAACTCTAGAAGGTTATCTAAGAATGAAAGGTTGACTTATTAGATGAGGCAAAGGTATGATAGGAAGATTTGTCACCAAATCCCTTTTCATTTTCTTTATACTTTAAACATACTCAAAAATCAAATATGGATAAATTTGAAAACTCAAAGACAGTAAATTTTTGGAGCTATTTGATGCTACAAAAGGTTAATTAGTTTACCACTTGGAACTCAAAGAACCCCGGGGAAATAAACAATACTTCCGTTTTTAAACTGTTGCCCAAAACAAAGTTACAGTACTACTTGGTGGTAAGTTGACCTATGATTTATCAATACTCAGTCAAGTAATTCTTGGCACTACAATGAATCCTCCAGATATAATTTCCAATTCCAAATCACTTATTATAAGTAGAATACACAATGTATCTTAGTAATGCATTTCTTTCACTGTCTTCTCCCACCTGGATTATAAATTAGATTCCCTCAGAGAAGAAACTTATTTAGCACTAGACAGTGTAGATTTTAAAGTCAAATTAAATTGTTGAAATTTTTAAAAAACAAAACAATACAATGATATCCCATGTCCATGTAGTCTCAGGAAACTTATTCAGATATCAACAGCCTCCAAACTGATCTATAGATGCACTGCAAATCTCAGGGAGTTTTGAATTTGACAAGCTTCTCCTAAACTTCATAAGGAAATGCACAGGGTCCACAATAGCCAAATATTCTTGGAAAAAACTACAAAAGACTCACACTTCTGATTTCAAAACTTACCACCATCTTAACAAGATAGTGTGGTGCTGACATAATCATAAAAGTATAGATAAATGGAATAGAATTGAGAATCCTGTGGTAAACCTATACATTTAGAAGTGACTGATTTTCAACCAGAGTGCAAGACAATTCAAAATGGAAATAATGTCTTTTCAATATGTGGTGCTGAGACACCTAGATATACATATACAAAGGAATGAAACTGGACCCCTTCTTCAGAGATACACAAGAATCATTTCAAAATGGGTCACATAACATAGAGATAAACATAAGACTTAAATCTTTAAAACTCTTAGAAGAAAACATGAGAGTAAGTCTTTATAGTCTTACATTAGGTAATATTTTGTTAGATATGATACCAAATCCACCAACTCAATAGTTGTAGGAATCCACCAAAGAAGAGTCACAACAGCTAATAAGCACGTGAAGAGATGCTCGACCTCATTCATCATTAGGAAGTTCAATCAAAACCTACTAAGAAGAAAAACCCTTAGGATTGCTTATATAAAAGAGACATACAACAATAAGTGTTAGGTTGTGGAAAAGCTGAAACTTCATATGTTGCTGATGTGAGGTTGTAAAATAGTATAGCCTCTTTGAAAAGCAGTTTGGCTATTCCTTAGCAAATTAAACTGAGTTATGGTACAATTCACAATTCCACTGTTAGGTATGTTCCAAAGAGAACTGAAACATATGACCACACAAAGAGTTACACATGTGTTCACAGCAGCATTGTTAGTAATATATAAAAAAGGAAAAAACATAAATGTCCGTTCATGATGAACAAACAAACAAAAGGTGGTATATCCATACTCTGAGTACTATTTAAGCAATAAAAAGGAATAAATCACTGATAAGTGTTATGACCTGAGTGAACCATAAAAACATAATAACCTGGATGTGGTGGTGCACAACTGTAATCCTAGCACTCAGGGAGGTTAAGGCAGGAAGAACATAAGTTCAAGCCCAGCTTGGGCAACTTATTGAAACCCTGTCTCAAAATAAAAAATAATAAAAGAACAGGAATGTAACTTAATGTGAAGGCCTACCACTACACACACACACACAGAAAAAAAAACTAAGAGAAACCAGTCACAAAACATCACATACTATATGATTCCATTTATATGAAATGTTTTTCATAGAAAAATTCAGAAACAAAATTAATTAGAGGTTATTAGAGGCTGATGGAGAGAGGGGAATGGTACGTGATGCTAATGAGTATAGGGTGTTTATTTGGGGTAATGAAAATGTTCTAAGACAGGGATATAGTGATATCTGATAAATCCTGTCAATACACTAAAAACTACTGGAACTGTATATTTTAAGTGGCTGTGCTATGTCATTTATTTCTCAATAAAGCAAGTTTTAGAAACAAAGATCAATAATCTTAAAAAGTTGGTAAAAAGGAATAAACAAATTAAAATCTGTAAGTTTTAATGAAAATAAATACAGGATTACAGCTCTGGTTTGTTTAGAAAAAGATGAACTGCTATGTAAACTTCGCATGACCTAGACCTCAATTAGCTATAGGTCTGTTCACAACACAAATAATTATACTATACTGAAGTCACTGTTCACAGAGCTGGTACCAAAACCTGAACTCCATGCAGTCATGATACACTGAAAAACTCACAGAAAGAACAATGAGTAATACATTAGAAAAATGTAAAATATTTAATCATTGCCTATTAAAATATGACCTGTATTTCTTGATGGTCAAGCCATCAATTAACCCTATCACTTCATCCTTGAATTTGTTTTACTACATTATCTAAAAACACCTCATCCTCAAAAATAACAATGTGGTTGGTAAAAGAGGTTTTCATTGTTCTTTTGCTTTCTTGTTTGAACAAAGAAAAGGTAGTTTTCAACCCCTTCTCTCCAAAGAAGCCAGGTAAGGTATACAAAAGTCTATGAACCTACTACACGTAGCATCCATAAAGGTGTATATATTGCCACATAGGGTGTGTGTTTGTGTGTCTGTCTGTGTTTCTGTGTGCATGTATGCATGTGTGCATGTGTGTGTGTGTGTAAAACGAAGCTATGGCTGCCTGTATATATTTGTTCCTCTTTCCTTTTAGACAGATAATAAATGACTACATGAGTCAGCAACATAGTTTCTACTAAGAATAAAAACAATATTGTATTATCTGTCACTATTGGAAGAGAAAAGTCCATCTAATACAAGATAAATTGGAACAATCTGTTCATATAGAAAGATAAGAATTTGTATGACATTTTTAGGATAATCAGCCATTGACTTCATAATGTTCCTCAAGCAGGGGGTCATGGCACACACATTAAAACCCCTCCCAGGGGGCAACTGGTCAGAGCTATGGTGTTATCCACCCGAACTTGATAGAGAAACCTCTCCAGAGAATTCCAGAGCCCAGAGTAAACTGAGAGCCATGAAAAGCAGAGAAATGCATCTACTTCTTCATCAAATACATTCTGCAGAAAGAGAAACTGAAAAAACAAAATTCTTCAAATAGTACATTATTCCTCCTGAAATCACTTTTCTTTATATCTTTTCTTGGCAAGTAGAAACCTGCTAAGGAAAGTGCTATGAAAGCTACACTTCACAGAAAGAACAGCAGAGCAGAAAAGAGAGGTGTTAATCAGAAGGAGCCCAGAGAGGCAGGCTTGGCTGGCTGGGGAGTATGGAGCACGTTACTGACACATACAATATAGGCTTGAAAGCTCCATAGGAGAGGGTAAATAAGTACACAGAGTTCTGAGAAATCAAGAAATATCCCGATACCCTGCCTTTGACTTCTACCATCTTGTATAGTTGCAACTCATGTCAGGGAGTTCTAATGGGAGCCTGTGAATAAAGTCCATTTACTTAAACATTTCCATACTCTGACTTGGATTGCATCATATCCCATAAATATATACAAGTATTATTTGACAGTATATTTTTTAAAACTTTTAAAAATACTCCCAGACTGGAGAGCAGGGAGTACTAAAGATAGAGCCTAGGGCCTTTCACATGTTAGGCAAGCACTCTACCACTGAACTTCACCCACAGTCTTGATTCTAGATTTTTTTAAAGAAGGGAACAGCAGGTATCGTAGCAATTATAATAATGATGATGATAATGACAGGGGTAAAGATAATAACAACTGTAACCATTCTTATTTATTGATTCATAGCTAAGAATTACTCCACACATGGCTAAGCTTTCTATCAAGGGTTCAATACCACAGGAATTTGGAGATCATCCAAATCAATCCTCATTTGGTCAAAAAGTAAAAAATACTGAGGGAGTTCTGAATGTGATTTGGAGCCCCATGGATAAATATGTAGTCCTCAAACCTCTTCAAAATTGTGGTTCACTTTACTTTGCTAATATCCAGCTACTAAAAACTCAACTTACATTATTCACTAGGTACTTAAAGCATGGTTACAGTAAATACGTTGGTCAGCATTTTCTGGCTTAATTTGGCTATACTTAAATAGCATTTCTGGAAGGTCAAGAGATGTTGCTTACTTCACCAAATTTAGTTTTGGGGGAAAAGAAAAAATAATTATGGACGCAGCCAGTCTATAGATTTGAAAAGCCAATCCTCAAACTAATTACCAAGTGTGAAGAGAAAATGCTACAAAGGTTCATCTTCCCAAGTTTGTAAAGAACATAGACTAGTGATTTAATTCTCTACAATCCTTATTTATTAAGATAGATCTTTTACCTCTGTCCGATTCAGTTCACGGGCTTGTTGGTTTGTCGGCACTGATTCAGAGTACGAATCAAATAATGCACACTCCCACTTGGGCTTAGGAAAAGCTAAGAAGAAAGAAAAAGAGTACGTAATATACTACAGCCATAGTGCTTCCTATCAGCTTTTCTATGCTTGTTAAATATAACAGTATTAGTTATATTATAGTACCTATAGCACTAATCATGCTTAAGTAGTATTCTAAGTCCTTTACTAACACAATGCCATACTTCCATGAGCCTTGTTTTACACATGATGAAACTGAAAAACATGGAGGTTTAGCAACTTACTCAAGGTTATATAGCTAGTAATGAAGAGCAGAGACTTGAATTTCTAACAGTGTTCTTAGCACTTCGTGGTATAACATAGCAGTCTCTCTCTCTCTCTCTCTCTCTCTCTGTCTCTCTCCTCTATCCCCTCCCCACGCCTCCCCTCCCCCTCACTCACTCTGTATGTGTGTGTGTGTGTGAGAGAGAGAGAGAGAGAGAGAGAGAGAGAGAGAGAGAGAGACTAGGGATTTCACCCAGGGGCTCCCACTTGCTAGACAAGCACTCTATTACTGAAATACATCCTTGGCCCTTTTTATTTTTTATCTTGAGAGAGAATACCACTAAATTGCCCAAGCTAGCCTCAAACATGGAATCGTCCTGCCTCAGCTTCCAGCACAGCTAGGATTAGGCCCATCACACCCAGCTCCTCATAGCAGTCATTTTCCACAGTAACAATCACTCTCTCAGTATGTTAACTTTTAACTATGCTACTAGCATAATTTTTAAATGTAGTAATCATGGCAATAGTTTGAACTATGAATATTAACTAAGAAAATACTTTATTTTAATTGGAAATAAACAAGACTTACAATGATGTATATCCAAGATAACATTATGAAGTGTATACTTTTTGATTAGCAGAACTAATAAAAATAAAAGCATATATTCTTACCAAATTTAAAGCAAATAAGAATTACATGATGGGTTTCTTCCAACATACAATAGTGACAGTGGCTGTCAGTTGGGTTGCTGGATAAATTAGCATAAAGAAAAGGCCATGCAACTTGGTAAGCTAATTATCTCACTGCCAGCTACTTTTTTTAATTTTAAAGACAGAAAAATCCAACAAAACAGAACAGAACGAAGCCAATGAAAACAAAGCAGCAAAACTGGTACAGAACTTCAAAGCAGGATACTAGCAAAAAACAACACTAGCTACCATAGTATATCTTGTTATCTTCACAATAGCTGCCCATTTCATCAGATACAGCAAAATCAAATCAAATCCAAAACAGAATAAAACCAATCAAAACAGAATACTGAATAAAGCAAAAACAGTTAATCAAAACACAGCAAAACAGTGAGAACAATAACGGATTTCAAAGACGAGATAGAAGGAAATCTCCCATATTTGCTATACTGCATACTGTCATCCCACCAGCTATTTCTTAGAAGCAGATTCTGCTTTATCATTCTGTCACAAAGCAATTCAGATAGAAACATCTCGACTAGAAAATTTGTCAATATTCTGAAGAGGAAAAGCATTTGGAGCAGATAATAAACAGAAGCTACAAATTAAATTTGTCAAGCAAGCCATGAGGAAGTCAAAAATTTTACTGATGTATGTCTGTGACACGTAATAATTATATTCATTGTGGGAAATTGGTGCATATATACATTCATATCTAGATCATTTCCATAGCCCTATCATCCATTTTCTCCACTTCCCCTCATCCTCTTCCCTATCTGTAATAATTGTTTTCTACCATCTCCCCTTAATTTTACTATTTAATTGATTTATATTTTATGTTTCTCATATGAGAGAAACCAAGTGATAATCTTCTGCATCTGACTTGCTTCACTATTTTAATCCAATGCATCAAAAAGAATTTTAATCAAGCGTGGAAAATGGACTGAATTGTCTTTAATCCTTACCCACTTGCAATAGGGACTGAAATGCCAACACTGCTCCTCAGTACAGTACGGTCAGGGTATCAGGAAGCTAAATGTATTTTCGTTCATATGCCCACTAGAGTCTGAACTTTGCTGATGTTAAATGGGGCAAACTATGGGCCCTGTTGGTTTTTCTCACCATGTGGTCTGTTTCCTTGGTAAAAACTCAACACCTTTCAAAGCATCATTCTTCAATGCAGCCCCAAGAGCAGTTTTACCAAATATTAGATTTGCTTTTATAGACTACCAATTTAGTGCTCTGGTTAGAACTATAAGACCCGTGCCTTATCCTGGGAAAATCTCACAGAGAAAGTAAATGCTTCCAAAACTAGGAATAACAATTAAATGCTAAGTCTCTCTCCAATCTGTCTATATCCCTCCATCTCCAATGTCACTAACCCAGAGAGAGTCCCCACTGCTCCTGATAAGACTGTTACCTAAACTCTCTTCATTTCCATTTTTGCTCCTCAATACCTGCTTTTTGAAAGGGTAACCTGCCTGGTCATTTCACATAGTGAATCGGATTTATCACTCTCCTACCACTGTGTTATTCTTTGTGTCCAAATGTCTGCCCAGAGAGCCTCATGTGATCATGGGTAGGGCTTTTCAGAGGTGGCAGGCTCTAGAGTGTAAATTATTCTACTGATTGGTTTGGCATAGTTCAAGGTTTGGCATAGTTCAAGATTAAGGGTGTCCCACCCTGGGTGTTGGTGCTACTCACCCTTATGGAAAACAACATAACATAAAAGGAACAGAAAGAATCTGTTCCTTATCATTTGGTTGCTGCCTTCTGCCTGCCATGAAGTTTTTTCCTTTGTGATATCCCTCTACCATACCACTCAGCCTTGGAGCCAGCAAACTATAAAGTGAACCCTCTGCAAATGGTGAGCCAAATAAGCTTTTCCTCCTTTAACTTTGGGTGTCAGATATTTTGTCTTAGCAACGAGAAAAGTAACTAAAACACACAGATCAATGTTATTGCCCACCATTCTCTCCTTGCTCTCCTTTCAGCCTCCTCCAAAGCCTCTCACCTCACTCTGTGCACTCCAGGCAATGCGGCCTGAAATTTCCATTTTTCCTGCGAGTACTTGCTCCAGTGCCTCTCCAGCATACCTGCTGTCCCCTCTTTGCAGAGCCCTTTCTTCCCCCTTCTAAGCTCCAAAGTCCTTAGCTCTTCTTGCACGTTAGCTCATCGCAGCACTGACAGTCAAGAATTCCCTAAGGTCGTACATGCCTTTGCTGCAATTGCATTTAGTCTGGGCTCCAATGACACACATGTGAACTTCTTTAACATCTATCCTCCAACCACCCACAAGTGCCATGCAGTAAGAACTCTTTTATACAGCATTCTCACGACAGAGAATAACAGTGCACACATAGGAAGTAGTTAATAGTTTTTTAACAGACTATGCAGGAAAAAAAAATCTACTGGAATCCACCCAATCACCTAGACATGAGAATATCAAAGGGCTTACAGGTAATCCACCAAACAACCCTATTTGTCCTTCTAATTCTGCCTTTTAACTTTCGCTGTTAGGAAAAAGGGACTATTTCTATAATTACAAGTAAAATGGCATCAGATACAACCACTGTTTCTTTAATAAAATTGTATAATAAAAAATTGTGTGTAAAAAAAAAAGTTTGTGTAATTTTGAATACATGATGGCCTCAACCAGATTTATACTCAATAATCTTGCTAAAATGGACCATTTTTTAAAAAGTTAAGTATAGATCTATTAGAAAAATGCTGGGATATGGTAAGAAGTAAACTTTTTTTAAAAAGCTGAATGGGGTTCAATAAAAACAAAAGAAAAAATGAATAAGACGATTCATATTTTTCAAAGAGTGTAAAAGCACAGAGAAGAACTAGGTAGTTCTGGTCTTAAGCTTCATACAAAGAAAAATGTGGATTATTAAAGCATTTAAAAATTAACTGTTAAATCTTTGGGATTTGTCTAAAATATATAGTTTGTTGGGTTTTATGAGGTCTCTCACATTTTCTGTTAGAACTATAATTATTATTTAAGATAAAGCCCATAATCTCTGAGAATTGTGTCCATGTTTTGTGTAATTGGAGAGTATGTGATGAAGTCTTCAGTTATTCCTGTATAAATGCATGCTGATGGTCTCCATAAAAACCAGGAAGAAACAAAAGTTCCAAGTGATGGAGGTGAATCTTGATTGGTGCTCCTTTTTTATTTTAAAGAGGTTAAATTAAACAGAATGAAACAGATCATAAGGAAATACTTTTAAGAAACATGGATTTCAAAGCAAGAGCACTGGAGAACTTCACTGTCTATTGTATTGTCTATTGTTTTCTTCCAACTAGTTGTCCACAAAGAAAGTGCTCTAAACGATATAACTGCATGTATATGTAGGTGCATTCTTATACATAGATAACCATATTACTGAGTTTTGTTGGATCATTGAACAGAACTGTTTGCAGTCTCACTGTTTGAAAGTCCACTTTATATGCTTTACTTTTGTATCTTGAACAACTATTTCTAAGATGACAATATGTAATCTATTAACTAGTGATTTCCTACTCTTTATTTTTTCTGAAATTCTGTATAACTTGTACCCTTTTTCTGTTTTTTTCTTTTTCTCCTTAAATAAAATTAAAAATAAAAAACAAATAGTTGTCCACATCTACACATACAGTGAATACATACTGAACATTATAGTACTAAGCTAATAACAACAGGAAGATGAAGGCTTTTTAGGTCTTCAAGACCAGACAATAGGGAAGTCAACAATAGCTGCCATAATGCCTCTCATTCTCTTCAAAATAGCAGTCTATATCTTTACATATGTTGAAATTAAACATAAGAGACTAGACTAATATCACTCTGAACAATGAATAATAAATAGTGTTGTTAGATTTTATATCATAATGCTACAGAATTAGCACTGGGTATCTTAATGTCTCTTCTTCTTCAGAGTATCTGTTCATTACATCATGTATTACATAATCTGTTCCTGTAAACTGTTTAGAAATTCTACACATGTGTGAATCTCTACATGTATATGTATCCTTTCTGTATTACAGGGAAAAACAGATCAAAACAAGACAACTAAACAAATTCCTAGAAACACATAAAAAGAAAAAGACATACAGAACCACA